TTATAAATGAGATGTACCAGAATGACCACAACAGAAATAAACAAGTCAGAACTAATTCATTCTTTCACCACTCACAAAAGATCAAAATTTGAAGGGATCTTCTCATTAAAAATCTTAGAGAGTCTAGAAATCAGAACTGCGTTCAAGGGAAGGGACCAAATGATAACCTTTTTCTTTATACTGTGATAGTATCTTGATTTATCGCGCTTAGTTAGTACTTATTTTAGGAGTTTACGACCCGTTCACTGGAAAGAACTTGAACTATGATGACATATTGACAATTCCCATCATCGAAAATCAAACAAAAGAAGAACATCTGCTGGTAAGCTGTAATAAATTTTGGCATGGATATACATTAGTCAGCAACGCAGACATTGCGTTTACTTTCGAAACGGGGCGCGGTTTCAGCACATTGAGGGCAGGGAGAAAACGTGGACGAGGGTAAATAGACAACTGAGACCGCGTCGCGCTCTGGTAGAGTTTTTGTGTGTGCATTGCCTACGCAAAAATTTTATCGAATCCATTCAGCCAGCTTTGGATGAGTGCTTAAAAGCAAATCAACGTGCTTGTGCCGTTCTCGTACGAAACCACGGTCTATTCGTTTGGGGAACAACATGGGAGAAAGCCAAGATTATGTAAGTTCAGGATTACGGTATGTTTGAACGGTCTTTGAGATCTCCTTTCTAGGGCGGAATGCATCGACTACCTCCTAGATTTGGCCATTGATATGATTCGATATGGAATTCCGCTCGTTAAGGATTCTGTTATGGAAGGATCAGCCCATCCTGATGAGGAGTATCGGCATATATTTTATCAGTAGAATAGAAGTACTAACATAGTTTTTTTTGCAACACGGGTTGAGTATTCACTTTTTTCTGTTCCGGGTTGTATCCGCACAAACAATGAAAAGAAATTGTTTTCTTTCATTGTCTCTTCTTTGTGCGTGGATCGGTCGTTACCTATAAGACGGATTTGCTTGTTAATTTTCACTCAAAGAAATGTAGATTCCGTTCGCTGCCTTGTAAGGTGGTCACCTACTCTCTCTCGAAACGCAGTTCTGCAGTAAGAGTTCATGCCAGGCATTAAGCGGCAGCGATAAGCGGGATATAGAAAAGAGAGTCAACGTACTCAAAAAAGAGAGTCAACGCAATCAAAAAATGTATTTCTATATACATCCAAGAAAGACTGTGTTGTAAAATGCTCTGGTGAAGATGCTATAAACACATCCGTATCCATTATTTGCAATATTTCAGAGGTCTCGTTTGCACGACTCGTCAACGGAATTGCATCTTAGGTGGTCCTGTAGTACATATATTTCTTGTTACACACAGTACAAACGGGT